CTATACCTGATGTCTGTTTAAGAAGAAATATGGTAAACAAAGTTGAATGCGGTGGAGATTTTTTATTATGTAAAGGAAAAGAAACTCAAACTCAAGAAGAACTAGATTTTCCTCACGAAGTACCCGTTAAACAAATAGACGCAAATTTAGTCATGGACGAAGATGCAACAAGTGAAATAAAAGGAAAAATTGTACTTCAAATAGGGAGTTTACCCACTGAAGTCCCCACAATATGCTATTCAGCCAAATTTGAATAATAATTTTTTTTTTTTATTTATATTTTTCTAATTTATATATATTCAAAGTCAGACATTAATTAGTTATTATTATCTATTTAGTATAAATAATTAAAATGTTATTTTCTTTAAGCATATTATTATTATTTTTGTTTTTTTTTTTTTTAATTAAATGAATTTTTTTTAATTATTTTAATTTAATTTGAAGTAATGATAAAATAATGAATAATGAAATGATGTTAATAATCTCACAATCCTCCAACTTGTATGAATCAAATCTATTTTAATTATTGTATAATAAAATACAAAAATGTTTTTTTTATTATATATATAAAATAAAATTCAGTAAATATCAATTTTAATTTGTAATTTAAAAAATTAAAATGAAAAATATGGTAAATTATAAGCAAAACATGGAGTAAATATAATTTGAACATGGATACATGGAACATGGTAAAATGAATGAAGAATGTTTGTTGTGTTAGGTATTGACTAACTTGTAAATTAACGGGAAATTGAATTTTTTTTTTTATTAAAAAAAAAAGTAAAAATTTGAAATATATATAATAATAATAATAATAATAAATTTAAAAATATAACAACATGAACTCGTTATGGGACAGTTAATGCCATCAACTCCACCCTTATTACGGTTTTAAATAAATAAAATACCATGGAAAAAATTATCCAATCATGAAAAAATTCAAAAAAACATTTGTATTATCATTCGAGGTTAAATGCATCGTAAATTTTAGTTTGTATATTGTTTAAATTGAAAATTTTTCAATAGTTTTTTCCATTTATTTATTAAAATGAAGTTAATAATTTTTTATTGGTTATTTAGTGCTGTTAATTTGATAAATGGAAAAAATTTAACAAACGGTATGAGAAAATTTTTAATTTTTTAATTTTTTTAAAAATGATTTTAAATTTAATTTTATAATATGTTTATTTATTTATTTATTTATAGATGATTCCCATTTAAATGATTTACAATTTAATAATAATAATAATATTAATAATATAAGAAAAATCAACGATACAAAAATATATATAATGAAAAAAAATGATACAATCGATAGTAGTGATGAAGTTAATTTATATAAAAATAATGAATTGGATACGTTTCGAATTAAAATAAAAGGTAAGTTAATAAAATTAATTAATTATTCGTTTTAATAATAATAATAATAATAATAATTAATAAGTTTTTGTATTTATTTATTTAATCAATTAGGTCGCGGAAGACGTCGCGATCATAAATTATTAGGTTTAATAGTCATGGGATTTATGGTAATCGCAAGCATTTTAATACCTACAGGATTTCAATTTTTAACCGTATTAGGTGGAAAATCTCTTCTTATGGCAAAAATGGCGCTCATAATGTCAGCAATAAGCGGTTTAAAAAAAATAGCAACAAGTAACATAGGTTATGGTTTTTATCAGTCGGGTCACGACGGTTATCACCATCACGATCGCATACATAAAGGATATAA